CCATTTTGTTATTGTACTTTGCTACTCTAGCTTGAAAAGTAAACTGCGTGAAGTTTTTATTTATTTTATTTTCTTTTTTTTTTTCTTACTTTGCCTTGTTTGCGAATTCTTGCCAGGAATTTTCACTTTCATTTTATTTTCAGATTCGATGAGGTTAACGTTCTTTATCGCTTCTATTTTCGTAAACAATTTCTAAATGTCAAGTGAGAATTGCCTGCGGCTACTCTTGCCGCGGGCTCGCCTCTTTTTTGGTGTATTTCTGCTGCATTTAATACCAGCCGCCGAATCAGTGAAATTTATGACCCTGAACCCTTTTGAGGAAAATCCGAAGCAGACGTAATTTCTCTGTTTAGTGCCGTCTGCCGCCAGACGCAAATTGTTGAAATGGAATGCATCATCGTCATCATCAGAATAGAGTGAAAGAAGACTTTTCAAGTTTAAACGAAACGACAAAAACAAACAACAAAGAAGCGGAACCCATTGCAATTGCATTGTGTTTCTTGACCTTTGTGAACTGGGAAATGAAAATCTAGTTGAGAATTTTTTCGGCAGGAGAAGAGGATGGTATTTGCTGGAAATAAAGGAAATTTTATCCACAGTAGAGGAGGTAAGGTAATGGTGTTTGCTTCAGAAATATAAGGATTTTTTTATAAAAAACGGAACCTTAGGAACTTGCTATTTTTCTGGGATAAAGTTCATGCGGCAATACTGATCAGAACCCCCTGCATTTCATTATACCCTACACCACATAGTGGTAAGGGTATTATCTCTTTGTACATTTGTGTGTAACATGGAGAAGGAATCGAGAACCGAACCATAGTTACTTTTGATGGTCTTCATAGAATCACTCTCTGAATCCATTTATGCATGTCAGTCAGTCCGTCCGTCTGTCCATGCACTCTTGTAAACAAAATACAGGTCGAATTTGCTATCCGACTAAGATGAAATTTTTCAAACAATATTTGTTTGGCCCAAGGACGAACCCTATTGAAATTGGTGAGAATCAGATCAAACTTCGAAATAGCTCACATATATATCTTCAACCGATTTCAGGTTTATTGTGCACCAAATATCATATGACCTGAATTTTGGCACATCCTACCGATTTCAGTCTAAAAGCAAATACACCAAATTTAGTGAAAATCTATCCAGATATAGGTGTAGGTATATGTTTCATCCGATTTGGTCTTGTACGAAACATCCTTATATTTACTACTTTTCGTGCACTTGTATTGCACAATTCCCAAACTACTTATTTTTCACAAACCTATCGCCAACAAGAACCCCAATACAACATTTCAAAATTCCAGTTTCATCCGTTCATCATAAACCAAAAGGTTTAGTACAAATTTAGTACCATGTAGAAGGGTTCGACACTTGGCACACATTTCGAAAAATCACCTTCATATATCGAACTTACTTCCAACCTTGATTCGCATAGCAAATGTCAAATTTTTAGTGTTCCTTTCACATAATACCAAATGAAAATTTTGTACCATTTTAGAACTTTCTTAACCTTAAAGTTCGAATTTCCAAAAAAAAACCCTTCGGGACATATGTCCCATACTCCAACAGTGACTCTATTTCCAAATTTCAGAATTCCAGCTCATTCCGTTTGTCCAAAAAAAAGTATTTAATTTTTAGTACATTTTAGTACTTTTCCTATCCTTTTAGTACGAATTTCGCAAAACCCAGCCTTAACACACGCCTGCGTACCAAGGCTGACTGACTGACTTTTCTTGCAAAAATAAATAAATTTACGTTTATCTCTCAGAAAAAAGTAGCTGGACAATTCCTGAATTATACCTTCCAGAACCTGCAAGAATCTACTATTTTTGCAATTTTTTCGATATCATAAAGGGAAAATTTGTAATCGTAGTAAAAAGTTTTAAATGCTTGCTTCTGCTTGTGGAACAGACCATAAAGTTAGAGTCTTGTAATATCAAAGGTACAAATCAGAAATGCAACAAATAGTTTTATTTGTTTGATAGTTTTTTTTTTTCACAATATTTTAATCTAAGAGAATATCGGGTTCTTAATACAATAACAACTCCATTTCATGTTTTTTTTTTTTTTTTTTGATAAATTCCTTCATTCCCAGAGAAAAACATTCCCGCTTTTATTTAAATTTTTTGCCGTTAAATTGCATCAGTTATCGATGTGTTCGATAACATCGATAAACCTATGCCATACATAGAAAAGAGAGACACAACGATGGAAGAGAGAGAACAATCTCATGAAACTGGCAATAACAAGCATATGAGACAATCATGAACAATACAATACAGATGAATGCATCAGCACTTGCGAACATTTATATGTCAAAAATATTTTAGGTTTTGTAATAATAAGTTGCTTTTAAAATGCCTTCTTATTTTTATACCCTCCATCATAGTATGGAGTGTATATTAAGTTTGTCATTCCGTTTGTAACACCTCGAAATATACATTTTAGACCCCAAAAAGTATGTATATTCTTCATCAGCATAAAATTCTATGTCGATTTAGCAATGTCCGTCCGTCTATGTACAGGACTTTTGGTATAGAAAATGTGTAAAATGGATAACGGTACCTCTCGATATTCGGTATTATGATGATTTTAGTGACAATATTAATCGGAATTGTTTTAAATTTGTTTGTATTTGAAGTTCGAAATGGATACTAAGACAGAAAATTGTTTGTCCACGTCCACGTCTTCATATAGCCCCCATATAACGGTACCTTCCGATATTCGGTACTTTGTGGATTTTAGCGACATTTTTCACCGGAATTCTTTCAAATTTGGTATTTGATGTCCGTAATGAATGTTCCAGTCTATGATAGGAGATTGTCTGTGCAGGTCAACGTCTTCGTATAGTCCCCATATAACGGTACCTCCCGATATTCGGTATTTTGATGATTCTAGCTACATTATTCACCGATTTTTTAAGTTTCGCATTTGAATATTGTAATGACTTATGACAAAAGTTACCTATGCAGGTCCATGTCGTCGTATAGACCCTAATATAACAGCTATATTCGGTATTTTTAAGATTTTGACAGAATTTTTTAACGGATTTTATTGTTTTTGAGAATTGCCAAATTCGTTCCAAATGGTGAAGGGTATTCAAAGTTCGACCCGGACAAACTTACAGCTGTTTTTACTTGTTTAAAAAAATAATAATTAGCAATAGTTCGTCCTTAAATACGTACAACTGGCTAGAAATTTACATACATTTCCGACCAGTCAAGGAAGAATATAATCTAAAACATAAAACTAAAATATTAGCCTCATAAGTCATGTAAGACTTGATTATGGAATGGTTAGTTGATTATGACAAGTATGAAGATCGACATAGAAAATCATTCCGAATTATTAGTCGATGTGGGCTCAATATCAGCTTTTTATTATTTTTTATTCTGGGCATTGATCCCTAAAGACTGACCTAAAAGTAAGGTTAACTTATTTCAACTTCAACTCATACTTATTACTTCGTCACCAAAAAAATCCTTTGTTCTTCCCTGAATAAATCTGCCAAAGATTTATGCCAGGATAAAAAACATCTTTGAATAAATTAGCCGATGATTTATGCCAGGATAAAAACATTTTATTGTTACTTAATTCGGGTTCCGTTTTATTACGAGATGCGAACAAAAAAGTATAAAAAACCATATGTCCACCGAGTACGTCAAATTTTAGGTAACGCTGTGTCAAATTTTTGAATAAAATTGCAGTGCGTTATACTATATAAATAAGTCTGACGTCTAGTGAAGCTTATTTTTTGGGCTTTTTTGCCCTTTTGCTGCTTTTACCTCTTGGGGTAATATTTTTTTCTTTTGAATTCGGTCCTCGTTTTTTGCTTTCCATCACTGCCTTTTGTGTCATTGTTATTTATATTTTTAATTAAAATATAACACAAAAGAATTGCCAGTACGATCAAATATTTTCGATTCATAAAATTCGTATATTTGTGGGCATTATTTCAAGTTTTGACTCATGTAAATGTCGACCAAAAACCAATATGCTCAAAAACCGATTACAAAGAGTCCACTTTTTCGATTTTCACCACATACAGAACGATTTATCGAAAGTCGACATACGTTACCCTATTTTCACCACAGCCCGAATGTCGATTAATCGAAAGACGACTTACATAGCCCTAGCGCAAAAATCACCGTGAAGCCGTGGAGTAAACACGAAAGTCGGAGTATTTTTCTTTCTCGCGCGTACACGTTCGTTCGTTGATTCCGTCGTTGTGCTGCGTATGAATGTTTGTTGTGTGTATGTGTGACTCTTCACGAATGGGAGATATATTATTTTATAAAAGTTAAAACAAAAAAAAATTACCAGAAAGAAAGAAAAATAAAACCGAATTGTAACGAAATACGAATGTTAAAAATATATATTTTTTTGAAATATAAATTGTTACCTTTCCCCGCCTTACATTTCCGTGCCGTGTTCAAAGAAAGAAAAAATATTTAATTTTATTTTCTGTGTCGAGTGGAGGAGATAAATGTTGTTTTGTGGCTCCTTAACAAATGCGAGAATACGGCAGAAAGAAAAATTGTATAAAAGAAGTCAAAAGTAGTGAATGAATGTGAGTAAACCAACAAAACGAAAAAAGAGTTGTGGTTTTTGCTTTACTTTACTTAAAACAAGTTAAATTAAGAGGAAAATAAAACATGAATTGTTGCCAGTGTATAAATGAATAAGAATATTAAACAATTTTATTGAAGTTGCATAAAATTAATAAGAAGAAACCCAAAATATATTTGGTGTTTTCGAGTGCCTCTCTTATTGTATTTTTTTGTTGCTGATGTTGCTTTCCTTTGAGTGTGCCTGCCTTAAAAAAGAAAAACTAGTTTTCTTAACATTGTTGCTGTTAACCTCAAGTGTCTTGAAGTTTTTTAAAAGCCGAGGAAAAAGAAAAACGCTGAAAGTGAAAATATTGCTGTTTAAAGTGAATTACAATCAAAAATTTAAATATTGCCAAGACAAATAAAACCCTTTCATTGTAACAATTTAATAAAATACCTTTAATAATTCCTTAACATGTACTCCCCTCTCTTCCTCTCCACCAAGAGAGGAGATTAATTCTACGTGAAATTATAATTTTACTGTTGAGTAGTGTTGTGTATTTTGTGGTGCTCTGACTGTGTGTAAGTTCGTTCGTGTTTGTGTGTCTGTCTGTCGGTTTGTCTCCCTTGCAATGTTCTTCTCCCGTGTCATTACTACGACTCACGACTCCCTTTGTATTGTGTGGTGCACCTATCTCTTTCCAACCTTTTGTGTTAATGATACACAACATGATTTACCATTCAAACGACAACGGCAGCAACAACAATTATAGTGCAAAGTGTAGTGGAGAAAAACAAGACACCACCAACAAAAACAACAACATAACTACAATAATTTGAAATAACAGCAGCCAGCAAGCAAGCAACAACTTACAAACACATAAGTAGAAAAGTAAATAGAAGAAGTGTGAAGAAGTAGTAGGCAAAAAAAAACTCAAGAAGAAGAACCACAAACACCGAAAAATGAAAGAATAAACGAAAATAAAATCAAGAAAGCAGCAACAAGAAGTGGACAAATGTCAAATTGAAAGAAAAATACCCATACTCTAACTTGATTTCCTTGTTCTCTTCCTCGGAATAAAAGAAGACAGTAGCAGCTGTTCTCATAAGAGTGCAATTTTGTTGGGTTAATAATGGTGTTGTTGTTTGTTTGCTTTATTTTTGGCAAATGCAGGCTCTGTTGTGCAAAAAGTAATTTCTTGCAAGTTTAAAGGCTTTAAAAGAAGTGAAAAACCTTAAAAAAGTGGCAGCAAAAACAGAAAACAAAGAAAAACATGAATATTTATTAAATAAAACCTTTTTTTGTAGTGATTTAGTGGCTTTTAAAAAGTTTTTCTAATTTTGTGTTTTTTTTTTTTTTTCAATTTCTATTTTTCTAGTGCCCTGAAAGTGTGTGAAAGGAATCCAAAAAGCAATTAAAAATTCCCTTAAAAATCGTTGTTATTTTAATATCCAAAAAATATATTGTTGCGAAAGCTAATCCTTTCCCGCCTCCCTGCTTAAAACGCATTTCCCCCCAAATAAATTTATTGTGACAACAACAACAACAACGATAAAAACCATAAAGTGCTACTTTTAAAATTCCCACAAAAAAATAGTTTCCCCAAACAAAAAGTGAGCAAAGCAAATAAAGTGAACAAAACATGTTTTCGGAAGGCATATTTCCCATTGGCGATGGTCTTTTAGACATCGATGAGGAGCGGCTCAAAGGTTTGCTGGTTCCCGAGGATATCAACGAAATTTATGATGTTGAACAAACTCCATTTGCCAGGTAAGTGAAGCATAAAGTCAAAAAAGTGTTAAAAATGTTTGTGTTCTCCTTTAAGCTCCCGTGTTGTAAAAATGATTCTTTTGTTTTGAATGAAGTTGGAAATTTTGTTAAGGACTGCAATTCTTATCAGTTGGATACGTAGACGGATTGTTTCCGAAAGGTTTTTGGAACAGAGAAATTCATCTCCTATGTCCCAATTCACAGGTGAAAGGTTTGCCGGAATTAAAAAATGGTTTCAGAAGAAAAGGCCACAGAAAAGGGATCTTTTACTTCATTTAGCTCCCTTCTTCACAAGCTTCCTCTTCTGGGTGGGGATTAATATGACCCTTAAAATTCAATCTTTTTTGTCATCCGACTTATTTCAAAAAGTCTATTTTCCATATCTACGCACAGACCAACAGTTATAGCGAAATTTCGGAGAAGGAAAGTCGAAATTCTTTTCATTTAGTACCCTCCCACAGCCTTTAAAAAAGATTTTTAATAAAATGTTTTATTTGAATCCGAATTATTAGATAAACTTAATTTTCAACATCCGTCAGATGCCGAAAAATTTAGAATCTACTTTAATATGAAAAAATTATCCTTTCAAAAATTTCCCTTTCCACGGAAAATTCCTTGATTTCATAATGATTTTCCACTTACCCCAATCATTCCCACACTCTCAATTAACCCCTCCCTCCCGAGAGGACTCTTGATTTATACACATAATTTTGTTTTTCAACAAATTTTCATTTTCCTTTTGCGGGATATACAATTTTGTCCTAATTTTCCTCATTCACATATTTTTTTTGTTGTTGCGCTTGCTTTTCCTGTTGTCCCATTTGTTGCTCTTTGACACACATTTTTCTCGTTGTGTGTGTGGGTATGCGTGGCACAATTCAGTTGGGTGTGTGTGTGTATCACCCCGATTATCCTTTGTTGTCTGGACACTTTGCACAAAGAAAAAAGGAACGCAACAATATTACAATTACTTCCTCCACATGTCGCCGGCACCACCGCTTTAAGAAAATCCTTTTAAACAAGATTTTACCACCAATCACTTTATTTTAGTTCTTTCTTTTATTTTTTTTCATATCCTTTGTTTTTACTGTGGTAATCTGTGGTTAAGTCTTTGTGTCCTCTCCAGAGGCTCAGCAGGTGTTCCTCGCTTATTTTGTGGTATTTATTTCGTAAAGGATAACTGGTTTTTGTTATTTTTTTGATTGGGTAATTGGTTTCATGTGGAGGATCTTTGTAGGGACAGTTCTTATTGTTAATATTTATCTTGAAAATGTATTAATCTGTTTTAGGGAAGGATTCAACAGAACAAAAAGTTGTATCCTTGTATTTCCATCCATTTAATGGAAAATATGAGTCTTAAAAATTCTCCAAATTAGAAGAACACCTTATTGTTATTAGTTTTATGAAATATAGATTCATATTTGGAAAATGGATAAAGTTATGTTCCCAATAAAAACAAAGTACCATAAATTCAATAAAATTCAGTACATTTTCTGTTCCAGAACCTGCAGGAATCTACTATTTTTGCGATTTGTTTTTCGATATCATAAAGGAAAAATATGTTCTCATAGCAAAATGTTTCACATTCTTGAAGTTCTGAAATAGAATAATGATCCTTATTAACAATTTGTGGTATGGAAGTTGTCTTTGGGTCAAATTCTATTATCCGACGTCGAACAAATTTCAATCGAAATGATCAAGTATGCTCATTTTAGAAAAATGAAAAGAAGAAGAGGGCTTGATCGACACCATATGTCCTGACTTTGGACGAAAACTAGTTTCTACAACCGTTATTTTGATCTGGTATATTTGGCATATGAAGTGATACATACCCTCTTTATCAGAAACGTATGCTTTGGCCACTCAGAAACTGCTATTTTTTCTTATAGTTCCTTTTAATGATCGGCATAGAATCACATTCCGAGTCGATTTATGCATGTCCGTCCGTCCATCTGTCCATGTATTTTTGTAAACAAAGTATAGGTCGCATTTATTGCCCGATCGAGATGATATTTTGCACAAATCGTTTGTTTGGCCCAAGGACAAATCCTATTGAATTTGGAAATAATCGGTCGAAATTTAGATATAGCTCCCTCATATATCTTCGTCCGATTTGCCTTTTATTGTGCACCAAACGTGTAATATTAGGCCAAATTGAATGGAATTTGAAATGTAAAACCAAATTGAGTCTAGAAATAAGTGAGTCAAATTTTACGGAAATCGGTTCAGATATAGGTATAGCTCCCATATATATTCTTCATCCGATTTGTTAAATTTCTCCTCTACGGCCGTAATATGCACTCTGTAATAACGATCCTCGGAGAAAGATATCAAATACATTTCAGAAATACTTTTACCAAATTTTATAGAGATCGGTTCAGATTTGGATATAGCTCCCATATATATCTTTACGCGATTCCAAGTTTATTGTGCTCCAAAGGGTTAACAAAAACCCGAATTAAATGGATTTTGACACATACTAACGGATTTAGCCTGGAAGAAAGTCTATGAAATTTGGTGAAAATCGGTTAAAATATAGCTATTGGTCCCATACATATCTTTCTTCCGATTCTGTATTTTACTCCCTCCCACCCGTAAAATACTATCCATAACAAAGATATTTGGTGGCAACTATCAGATACAGTATAGAAATACATCTTCTGAATTTGAAAGAGATCGGTTCAGATGTGGATATAGCATCCATTTACATATATCTTCATATATATATATCTGTTTCAACTTTCAAGATATCCATCTCAAGTTCCTTAAGTCAGCGTTTTTTTTTTAAACAATATAATCTCTTGTTGGATAGGTATTTTAACAGCAAATTGCAAATAGATTTAGGCCTTATCCCTTCTTAAACCAGAAATTTCAGGTCAAACAGCCAGGTTCATCCCCTCAAGAAAATAAATTTTTAAACCACAAAGTTCGGGTCAAACAACCAGGAGGTTCATACCTCAAAAAAGTAAATTTTCCTTAAGTGTCTAAAAATGAAAGATTAAAGCTATGCAACTTTCTTAAATACCCTTATAAAAATTAAACTGTCTTACACCGTTCACCGACCCTATTTCCCGCTCACATGTGTGTTCTCAATTTTCGGAAATTCCAGCATTCCTCACCCATATTGTTCTCAGTTGTTAAAACATTCTCTTCTTATTTTCCTGTTCTTTAAATAAGCTTTTGTTTAAAATTATTAATTTTTTTGCATTGTTTTCTTAATATTGTTAAAAATAATCGATTTATCATTCCCCAATTGTTTTTTAATGGCAAGTTTTTTGTTTAACTTTAATTTTCTTATTGTTTCGAGTTTGTATTTAAAACATATTTTATTAAGTGAAAATGAAAGATATTTAAAATTCCATGTACCCGCCAAAAAATAGTCGCTCTATTGTTACAAATGCTTAAAATGTAGAAATTGAATTTTGGCGGTACTAAAATGTTAAAAAAAACCAATAATATTTGGAAAATGCTTTTCGATTTGAAAATTTCACGTAAGTAACTATTCAGTGTTTTGTTATCTGTTAGCATGTTTTCCCTTACCAAAAACACTTGCTTTTTGTAAGATGCTTTGAAATACAATTTCTGGCAGGACATTGTTCATTTATGAATGAATTCTCATAACTTTCTTTCATCCAGAACTATTAGTACTTCTTGAAAATAATCTGATTGATGCTACCGATTTTTTTCCATTATGGGAAATAGTTCAAAATTGAATTCAAAATTTATGATCTGCCCTGCAGCCTTTATAAAAATTTGGGAATAGCAAATTTGAACACATATTGATGTCAGCAGATTTTGAAAATTAAACACAAAAATGTATATCTGGTCTAATGCTTGGTATTGAAAATGGCCTATATTGGTCTCCGTTCATGTCAAGTCCTCCGCTAAAACGATACCTTCGTACCAAAATACTTCCGTACTATTTTCATTTTTTATATTCTTCCTGCGGAAGAGTTCAGAATACTTTAAAATTGGTTGTGTCGAAGGATATTTTGAAGATCATATCCATATTTTTCCTCCGAGGCGAATTAGATATTCGATTTTGGGTAAATTGAGACTTACCCAATTTTTTTACCCTCCACCGTGGAGGGTATATTAAGTTTGCCATTCGGTTTGTAACACCTCGAAACATAAATTTTAGACCCCACAAAGCTTATATTTCTTGATTAGCATCTAATTCGATGTTGATTTAACTAAGACCGTCCGTCTGTCAGTGGAAATCAGTCTAACATCCGAACGAATTGAAGTAGGTTGATAAAATTTAACTCAAAAGTGTGTTTCTTCTGCAGGACTTGCGGTATTGGTAATGGGATATATAGGTCCAAGTTTAGGTATAACCCCCATATAACTGTTCCTCCCTTTAATCGGTATTTTCATTATTTTAGCGACATTTTTCACCGGAATTGTTTCAAATTACGTATTTGCACTTCCTAACGGGTACTACAGCCTGTGACAGAAAATTGCTTATGCAGGTTCAGATCTTTCTATAGCCCCCATATAACTGTACCCGCCTATATTCGGTATTTTGATAATTTTATGGACATTTTGAGGAATTGTTTCAAATTTATTAATTTTAGTTCGTAATGGGCCCTACAGCATGTGAGGGAAAATTTACAATGCAGGTCAACGTCTTTGTATAGCCCCAGTGACAGAAAATTGCTTGTGCAGGTTCAGATCTTCCGTTAGCCCTCATAAAAGGGTATTATTGACCAGAATTGTTTCAAACATCACATTTGCAGTTCGTAACGGGTTCTACAGCCTGTGACAGAAAATTGATCATTGCACCCCCCCCCCCCCCCCCCATATGACGGTACCTCCCTTTATTCGGTATTTTGCTGATTTCGTGTTTGAAATTCCTAATGGGTACTACAGTCTGTTGGTTTTCTATGCAGATCCAGATCTTCGTATAGCCACTAAATTTCGGTACCTCCCTATATTTGGTATTTTCCACATTTTCCCAACAATATATGGTAAATGGATTATATCTTAAAATATTCAAT